TGCATAGGACGAACTACTACTACTATTTCGGAACAAAAGAGAAAGAGGCCAATTTAGTCGTCGATGCCAACAATTTTCTCTCTTCCTTTTATAGTTACGGTTAACAAAACGTCAATGCTTTTACGAGCTCATTCCAGGAACAGGTAAACTTTACAAAATGCGTTACGGTTACTCTCGTTAATTGAGAAATAATGGCCTCTTCAAATTATACGGTATACACCTAACAAATGCATAAAACCACATAGGAGTGCCTTTTTTTAGTTTATATACTTATTGTAAGATTTGATTTAGAAACGACGTTTTATATTCTCCCTATAACACCATTATTATTTTACCATTAAAATAGTATTATTAATTCCAATCACATCGTACGATTGACAATGCGATTGACAATGCGATTGACAATGCGATTGACAATTATATATTTAAATAATTAATAGATAAATCTTGAATTTTTGTAGATTACGATAAAGATCGTGGGATCGTAATATTAATCGGTGAAAGTTGAACAGGTGCCGGATGTACTGAACTACCGATTGGACATGCCGATTTTACGATGATTTGCACGGAGCATCTAAACTTGCTACCTCGTACTGAAGATGCTAAAAGAGGAGAAAGTGAGGGGGGAAAAGAGTACAGAAAACGATAATCGTCGGTCAGAAGAAGATAGATTTTGAGAAAGGAAGAAGAGACCCAACTAACTAGCCGTGTCCGATCGAGAAACGAGACGGTAAATGTGGTCAATGAAAGAATTCGAAAAGTTTTCAATGTTCTTTACCCATTGATCCTTCTACTTTGGATCAAGCTACCGAGATTATGTGGATCCAGGATCGAGGAAAAATGGTCGCATCGTTTGAACCACCAGTTTCGCTCTAACAGGATCTCAATTTCGGGAGCGGAAGGCAGATTTCATGGGAAGAAAACTTCCTGAATTTTGGGACGGGGCTTTCACCTTTCTTTTTTTTTCTTTTCTTTTTTTAGACAGAAAGAAGAGACGATAAAGTGGTTCTCGTAAACCGTAATTTAAAAAAATATTTCGTAGGAATATATCTGAAATACATTATGACGAGGAATAAAAAAAAAACAACAAAAAAAAACAACAAAAAAAAAAAGAAAGAAAAGGAAAGATATAAAAAAAAATGTTCTAGGGTACACGGTCTCTTATTTTACTTGCAATGAAATATAAAGTATCCCTCACCCCAATCTTCAGAGACATTTGAAGTAAAGTCTATTTAACTACCGCTGTTCGTCTACAGGGTAAATTAAAGAAAACTCTATTTCGCTGTTAATTGACGTGAAAATTTACGCCGGGAAACGGTTTCCAACCTAACGTCCAATTGAAAAGAAAGAGAATAGAATTTCTTTTTATTCTTTCTTTTTTTCTCTCTCTCTCTCTCTCTCTCTCTCTCACTCGTGTATATATCTCGTTAAATAAATGTTACAATGATCGGTAGAGAAAGAAAATGAGAATTTAACGATGCTTCACGAGCCTCGGTATCGTTTCCTTTCGCAGATCTCGTTTTTCCTGTGTCCATGGTTGCCGTGCCGGTAATTTTGGTTTAGGTACTATGACCCTTCCCTTGCGAGTTTGTCTTTTCCTGTTGGTCGAAACTTTGCGAAATTTAGCACTGCCCTTCTTCGTTTGTCCTCCTTTTTTACGTTTGCTCCTCGATCGTTTCCGCTTTGACGTTTGATTTTTCCAAGATACATTAACGAGAAATCCTGGCTCGAATCTGTTTGAAGAAATTGTGACATTTTGTTCTTTCGCTCGAAGAAAATGATCGTATAGATCATGCTATTAGTAGTAGCACTATATCAAGACCAACATACTTATATTTGTTGAAACGTTTTTTAATGATTCCAAAATCGATACCACGCCTAAGTGCTACAGAGATTTGTTTTCTCAGAACTTTACCGGCAAATATATCATGTCTCTCGCTAATCCGTTGCAAGATTTCCTTCTCGGATAATCCATTGATCGAACGATCGGTTCTTAAGAGCTCGTAAACGAGACCAGATCTACGTACTGCCATTTTACCGAGTTTCTTGCATTCGTTCTATTTCGGTCAAGTTACTTTGTCGCGAGTGATTTTACCAGAAAATAACATCGTGTGCTAGAACGATACGCGAGAAGATTGTACAAAGAGCACTCTTCGTGTAATTTTTCAAAGAAAATAATGGGTAATGATGTTAGTACATGATGCGCATAACCAAGTTGGAATGAAACATTCGTTTGCCAAAGGACGAGAACCAAGTGATAACTTCGTGTCGTATATTCAGTTCGATTGTTTATTCGAGCTACTTCTAATCGTTGATTATCGAATAATAATAAAGCTTAACTCGATCGAAAGCGCGTTAAACTTTAATCATCCGCTTGTTACGAAATTCTATAAAGATATTATGCGAATTCATATCCTCGGGCAATCCTAAATATCGCGAATGAATAAACTAAATCAGAATTACATAAATATTCGATAAAGTGTATTTAACGATCGAATAATTGACCGCATTGATTATTTTTATTAAAGGATTTAAACGGTTATTAACGGATGTTTGCTTCTTTTCAAACATGTATGTATGATCAAAGTATTTACATATACATATGTATATATGTATGAATGAACAAGGGATATATGCGGGTAGGTAGGAGAAAACGCGTATACGCTTGTATCGAAAATCCTGAGTTTCATCGGGAAAGAATCTTTACGCGAAGTAAATCTTCCTAGAGAAATATCGATGTTGATGCATGTTATTGGCTTAACGGCGCCGTTGTTATAACCGAAGTATATCCAGATATAGGCGAGCCAACGCGTTTCTATACGGATAAGGGTTTCCTAGTGTTAGTACGATATATCTACATCTATGCACGAATCGTTTACACACACACACAGACAGAGATACCGTTCGATAGTATCCAGCTCTTCGCTTCTAGCGTATCCCTAGCTTTCTGTTCCGGTACTTCGAACTGCTTCGTGTTTGCCAAGAGGGATACGGATGCTGGAGAGTTTAGGAGGCGGGATGGGTGGTTTTAGAAAGAGGGCCACGAGGACGAAGGGATGGAGAGAGAGAGAGAGAGAGAGAGGGTGAAGGGTGGAGGATGGAGGGGTGTATAGCGAGGTTGGTTGATGGCTAGAAAGAGGGAATCCGACTGGATGGCCAGCAAGACTCTGATTTCCGTCGGGAGTTTCGCCCTATCCAGAGCAGCCAGGCGAAGTCGCCTTTAATCATTCGATTGCCGACGCTTCGGAGCCTTCCTTGCCTTCCAACTCGATATTCGAGCGAGTCCTTTGTGCCTCTCTCTCTCTCTCTTCCGACTTTCTATTTGCTTTTAGCATTCGCACGCTAGCTGGACGTTGTTCAAAAACAAGACCGCGATTCCTTTTTTCCTTTCTTTTTTCCCCAAGACAAAATTAATTAAAAAGGGATAAGAAGAAGAAGAAGAAGATACGAGAAAGAATGAAAAGGGGTGGTGGTGGTCGTGGTCAGGTTATGAATCGAGGCAAGAAACGATAAAATGAAAAGGGAGGACGGACATCAAAGAGCGAGAGGAAGGTCTTTGCACGAGATTGACCTCGAAATCCAGCTGGTACGTCTTTCCCTTTTCTTTATAAGCGGAGGGTTAGGCCTTTGGTTTCCCGGTGTTTCCTCGGTGCTTTTTCCAATTCAGCCATCCCTACCTAGTGGTCCTCGAAGTCGGGGCAAGTGGATTATTGACGGCACGAAACAATGGGTAAGCTTTGTTCCGCGCACTCCGGACGTAATATGTTCGATGCAGTAGGGCCGGTATGATGCCTGTCCGTCCATCAGTTTTGTGCATCGAGTGCCCCGGTAAGCCGAGCGAGTGCCTCCTCGAACGACCGAGTCAAGTACCGACCGGTACATCTGGCTGTCTGATCGGTGTTTATTAAAAATCATACGAAACTATACGGATCTACGGCGCCTCTACGGGGAATTCCAAAATATTAGTCATAACTATTCGACTCTCGGTGTTAAATCTCAATCGGTTATATAAAAAAAAGACAAAAAAATGACTAATAATTCGAGATAAATTTATCCTCCCGGGATATATCTCATCTCTTCTCGCTATCCCTTTTGGAAGATCCGCGAAGCCGCGAAGTATTTTAATTTCTTACGAGATTGAGACCGCGCTAAGGAATTCTTTTCGGTCGAGCATTTTTGTCTTTCTTCAAAAGAAACCTCTGGCATTACTCTGGAGACGAGTTAGGAAAGAAACGAACGAAGGTAAAAAGAGAGAGAGAGAGAGAGAGAGAGACACTTTTTCGATTACCTCTCGCTCTCGCCTATATCTTCAATACCTTTTTTTCTAATTCGAACGAGATAAATAAATTGCAGAGCAACAACAAATTGCGACATAGGGCGGTTCTCGAGAAATCGCAACGTCAATCGCACCGTTCGACCATGCCGAATTTCGTCATGGCGGTCGTGATCCAACGTGTAAACATCCCCATGGGCAATGGCTTCGATTTGGTATCCGGTGCGCCGCCGCACTACCACCAACGAGTACACCGTGCAGCAACCCTCGAGATTCGAAAGCGGTGCTCACAATTCCGGATAAATCATAATGGTACAAAACGGTCTACTTTTTTTACTTTCTTTTTCTTTCGATAAGACAACAAAAAAAATACAATAACGCGAGACTATTTACTTTGACAAAGGTAAGCGATCATCATTTTGTAATAGATCAAAAATACGAATTATATATCGTTTAGATTTTGTGGACGAAACGATTACAGGATATTATTACGGTGAACGTTAATACTCGATTGTCTAGATTGTTGAGAGGCAAGGTAAAAAGAATCTAAAGTCCCAAGAATCATCGGGGAATTTGGAATTAACGCGTTGAGCACCGGCGAATTCGTAACCTCCGGGGGAAGCTTTCGCTTGGAGAAAAAGAGAGAGAGAGAGAGAGAAAAGAGGGCTTTGACAGTAGCTGGTGGCTCCGAGGGATTCAATATAATCGCGCAATAAAATTCACTTACAAGCTATAGCTCCTCGTCCCCCTTTACTCCTCGGAGAGCCACCGCCTTCTCCCTGTGCTCCTCGAGCCTGCTTTTTCCACCCGCTTCTTCCTCCCGTTCCTCTCGACCCTCGCGACAGCACCAGCAGCAGCCACCGGCAAAGACCGACTCTTCATCCTGCTGGAAACGTTGCGGGGAGGAAAGTATTAGCTGCGAGCTTTCGAGCGAAACTCCCATGCCGCTCATCCCTTCTCTTTTTCCTCCTCCTCACCCTCTTAACTTGTCTTTTTCCCTTGCTCCCTCGTCTGCTGTGTTCGCATTGGGAGAACGAAAAGGATGGTACAAGAAGACGGAAACACAAGGTAAAATGAAATTGAATCGTAGCCTCTTCATCTTTCCTTGTTTCCATTTTCCACTCGCTTTTGTCTCAGCAACCTAGAGAGCAAGAGAAATGAAGAGAATGTAAAGTTGGAAGCTGAACACTACAGAGAGATAGATAGAAGAGAGAGAGAGAGAGAGAGAGAGAGAGAGAGAGAGAGAGAGAGAGAGAGAGANTTTCCATTTTCCACTCGCTTTTGTCTCAGCAACCTAGAGAGCAAGAGAAATGAAGAGAATGTAAAGTTGGAAGCTGAACACTACAGAGAGATAGAGAGAGAGAGAGAAAAGAGAGAGAGAGAGAGAGAGAGAGAGAGAGAGAGAGAGAGAGAGAGTTTTCAAGCAGGTACGTACTCGTACGCGTCCGTGCCCCGATCCTCTCGCATATTCTTCCATTAAATCGAACTACGGACCCACCACCACCACCACCACCACCACCACTCTCGGCTGGATAGTCTCGTCTCGGAAATACACGCTCGACGAAGAATACCTCGTGTTTGCATAGGTCCCGATGCACGCCCGATATATCCACTACCCCATCATCATCATCCTCCTCCTGTACAATTCGAAGAGCGAAAGAGAAAAGGAAAGCTCATAGTAGGGCCCTATGTACACTCAGCTGCCTGCCACACCGTCGGCCGCCTGTTTTTCTCTTCTTCTCCTTCCGTGTGCACATCCAGCACACACCCTTCTTCTCGGTGGACGATGCAACGCGGAATACATTCCGCACGCGGTTTTACCTTTCCCTCGAGAGCTAAGTTAAATACGTGATCGGACCGAAAAATGATGGGACTGATTTTATCGAAGCTGACGTTACTAAATCCCATGCATTCGTGCAATCCATTTAATCAACCTATCTTCTTTTTTTTTTCTTTTTATATTTCCCCTACTTTATTTTCTCTAACGAACCATTCTCGCATGCGTGAATCGTGTCAAAGAAAATACATCCTTACAACATTTTCAACTTTTATATTTGGCGGTGATTACATTAGAAAAAATTCAATATAAATGAAAGATAATGAAAGGTACGTTATAGTTTGTTCCTCTCGGTTTTACGGAAGAACGAGAAATCGACGTCCCTCGAGTCGAATCTCTGGGACAGCGTGAACATTGAAAGAAGAAGGTTGGAGGAAAAGCGAGAACGAGTAACACGCTTCGTCGAGCGGAAATTCGCGATATTGCCTGGAGCTCTCGTAGACGATACATAATTGCGGAAACTCTCCGAGATTTTCACCTCGAAATTCACCGTTCGTATAAGAAGAGAAATAGAGAAGAACAAAAAGATTTCTACGTTACTAGTAGTGTCCCGTTACCAGCTAGAATCGACTAAAGAGAAAATCATGATTCTTCAATGTTCTACAATATAAGTATTATATATTAACGCGATATGTATATATATATAGGTATATGTATATTAACGGTTGTGGCGGATTTATGGTAGCTGCAGGACTTTTACGAGAAGTATATAGCTCGACAGTGGTCCTGTACGAGCGGAGCTAAGATGGAAATCCTGTGTGCTGGTTGGCTGGTGCAGGCCCCGCCTTTCATCCTTGCCCGGGACTATGTGTTACAACGTGCTGTTTAAGTAAGATAGGTAGACGCTTACGCCGAATCGTTGGACCCCATAATAGAAACTCGCGAGCTTTACCTGCCCGCCGGAGATGGATAATGCACAGATATAGTACGCCAATTTTATTTAAGCGTTAACAACGTATATCATCCTTATATCATGATCCGATACTTTTGCGTAGTGTCATGTAATTTAATTGTCGCAGTGTCAAAGTCCGACGTTTAGCGTGACCGAAAAATCAAAAAGATAAATAATTCGTTTGAAACGCGTATTCGAATGTTTTCGTCGCGTCCATGTAATAAATGAAATTTTGACGGCCTTACATTGTCGCAACAAATGAGATGATGATGGAAGTGCGTCGAGGAACAAAATGTCCCATGTATTTACGTAGCACGTATAGAAATGCATAGATACACAGGTAGAGAAGTATGCGTACATCTCTAGCCAATCTCGTCCTCTCGCAACGCGTCTCTCGTTTCCTCTCTACGGAGAACACAATCAGACAGGACGACGTAGCTGTATTCCGGATTGTGAATGTTGACTCGGAGTATATTTGTCTAGCAATGGAGGAGCGTTGGGTAGATGATGGTACGAGTAGTGCTAGTGCTAGTGCTAGTGCTAGTGCTAGTGCCAGTGGTAGTGTTGGTCGGTTCAAATATTGTGTCGCTTCATTCAGCGTCGGCGACTATCATAGACACATTATCCTATCGCCATAAAATAAAGTCATTAGAATGATATAAACAGAGAAAGAAGGAGAAACAGTGATCGAAACTAGGAATACGTTTCAAATAAACACCAAAATGTAAATAACGGTTAAACGTAACTACCCTTTTTCCCTTTAATTTGTACATGGCTAGGAAAGAGAGAAAAAGAAAGGTGCTTTATCGTTCTCACGGACGACCTACAATTGGACTTCTCTCAGTCAGTCTTTAACGCCTGGATCCACGGGGATCTAATTATCAGTTTGGAAAGTTTCGAAATTAATAAAACTCGGAGTCTGGCCTTCTACTAGCTGGCGTGTTTTTTCTCTCTCTCCTTTTCTTGTTATATTACTCTTGGAAGTAAAATCCGAGCTCTTTGGGGCTTGGAAAGACGAAAGAAGGAAGGAAGGAAGGAAGGAAGGAAGGAAGGAAGGAAGAAAGAGAAAGGTGCTACTATAGACTTGGGTGGGTAAGAAGAGAGGGCGAAGAGGAGGCGGTTTCGAAAGTCTCGAGAAGATAACTCGGAGTTTCTCTCGGTAAAAGAGCGAAGGAAAGGCAGTCGGGAGCGTCGGCTAGATTCAGAATTTACCAGTCTAATGCGACTGAAACTCTACACTCGAACTCTTCTGGAAAAGTTTCCAGGCAAGCTCACCTTGCCTCAGACTTCCAAACTCTTGTTTCTCGTTTCACCTTAATCTCTAGTTTTATCTCTTCTCTCTGCTCTTCCCTTCCTTTGCTATTTCCTCTTACGTCTTTCTTTGTGTGCGCCCGCGCATGTGTGTGTGTGTGTGCATTCTACCTCGTCGTCAAATCTACTGTACGCTGTACATAATCCCTTAACGATTATGAGCATTCGCTTGTTTTTAAATACAACCTTCTCTACCTAGTCTTTCATTCATTTTCTTCTTCTTCTTCGCGTATATAGGAGGAAACCTTAGCAACGTAGCACAGCTGTTTAAGTCGTTTTTCAATGTTTCATATGAAGAGAAGCTTTGGTACGATTGGGGACCGAAGTAACGCTTCTGTAGCAATGACGTTGAGAGTCCTCGAGCAAACCACCACGTGGGACGTCCAGCTCCTTCCGTTCTCGACGCACTTTGGGTCACGTAGTACAACACGCTCCTTCTTGTAGTAGGTTAATATGTTTAGATGTCGCGGTTGTACAGAAGGATGGGAACGACGTACCCATACTTCGAATTGCCTACGAGTATCGAGATACTTACTGCGATGTCAGACGCAGAATCGTTATTATTTTCTTGTATTCTTTAAACCTACACGATATATGAAGACGTACTCTTTTATTATTAATTTACACAACTTTGATTCATTATCAATTGTATTATTTTAATATCGGAACGATAAACGTATGTAACAAAATCCCACTTAATCGAAATGTTCTTTTATATCGTATTTTTTCCTTTCCGAATTTATCCTCCGTTACATCGAGCACACATCGAGTACTCCTACTCGAGTGTCCTAGAAGTAATACGATGTCACGCCAAGCTGTGGTTTTACATCAAACCTCGAGTGGTCCAGGGTGACGCTCTCTCTCTCTCTCTCCACGAAACCATTGTATTTAAGTAGATACTTCAAACGATAGTGCATCGATTCTCCCAACATTTTTACTTAATCATTGATAAGTATCGCGATATTGCGCGCCGTCGCATAAAATTAAATATCTCAATGAAAGTCCTTAAAAGGTTAGCCAGTCGCCGATTGCGACCGTGCTTAAAGCGGATAAAATCCACCGAAGTAGGATATAATATTAGGTATATCTTGCGGTTTTCTACGAGACGATCGAACGTAAAACCGCAAAGTAGAACCGCTTAATGATTTTACGTTTCCGGTCAAACGAATGCTAATACGCGAGACCACAGAACCACTGACCCTACCTAGAAAATCCTACCAAATCTTTCGTACATTATTACACACGAAAAAGGATTCAAATGAAATTGAAAAAATGAAACGTAAGCGTGAAATTGTAATAGGAGCGCGAACGGAGATTAACAAAATTATTCATCTTGTTTGAGATGTACTAGCAGGATCAAAATAGATAACAACAGAGAGAGAGAAAGAGAACGCAGAAGGAAATTGGTCTGCAAATCGTTATTCAAATCCCTCGGTAAATTCGGGACAAACCGAGCAATATGTAGCGTTTAGCGAGCATTATTCGTGACCCCTGATCGCAATGGGACTACCAATGGCAAGGATCGAAGAACAGCCGGGGTGGCTCGTACGTGGTGCACGAGTGTAGCGCACAATGCCGCTTCAGAATCCCTCCACGCATACTCTGGTGTGCATTTAACGCGGTCTCCTCTCTCTCCCTCTTCACCCTCGAGAAGAAGTGGGGTGCTAAGCCTCCCTGTCGCTCAGGATTACCGGCTCTGATTTGCTCCTACGAATATCTCGCGCCCGCGGAGTCTTTCGATTCTACGTTTGCAAGCGGAAAAAGCACTGCCGCTACTGGGTTTACCCTCTCCCACTCGTCCCTCTTCACGTCCCTCTTCACGTTCCTGGCTCCGAGCTATCAACTGTCTCTACGATTATTTCTACAAGGGTGGTTTGCGTTTCTGTCTCTTTGTTTTCTCTTTTTCTCATCTTCTATGTTATTATTATTTTTGCGCTAGAGAAAGGGAGATGCAGCTAATAAGAAAATTGCTATGCTAATTATTTCCCGACACTTTGTCAATTGCGCAAATTAGTCTGATTGAATGTTAGTTACCTTACAAATTAATTTCACTTGTTTTCAACTGGAGAAATTACTAATAATCCGAGTACTCCAGTGTTTTTTTTCATTCTAATAGAGGAATAAATATATTATCGGGTATTTTTCGTTTAGTCAGGTATTACATACTCTATGCATCCGTATGCGTCAAAGCTCGGTAATTTATTTGAAAATTAGATATCGAATTTTCAAATTACGCGCCGATAGAGGAAGATAATTCCTTTGAAAGTCTTTTTTACGCGGGAGCCAAATTCTTTGGCCGTATCATTTGGCGAGAATGATTCTCGAGACTCGACGAGTGGTGTGCCTAACTCGCACGTCCCTTTGTTTTCGAGTACCCGGCGATAATTTCGTCATGAATTTTAATTCATCGACGCTCGAAGCGTTCATGAATTTT